CTAAAAAAAAAAAATTTGGTAGAGAGTGGGGATCTGACTACGTGGCCCAGGTTGGTCTTAAACTCCTGGGATTAAGTGATCTTCCTTCCTTGACCTCCTGAAGTGCTAGGATGATAGGCATGAGCCACTTTGCCCAGCCTCATCTTTACTTTTAATCAAATTTTCTAATGGGGTAAGAAGCAAAGTCTTATATTTCTGCATAGGGACTGCAAAATGAAATCTTTTCCTACTGTCATATCTATCATGGGTTGAAATGTGTCCCTTGCACAATGCATTTGCTGAAATTCTAACTCTCGGTACCTAAAAATGTAGTCTTCTTTGGAAACAGGGTCATTGCAGATGTAATTAGTTAAGATTATACTGGAGAAGGGTGAGCAGCTAATCCAATATGATTGGTGACTTCATAAAAAGGCAGAATTTGGAGACACATATACAGGGAGAACACCATGTGAACATGAAGGCAGAGGTCAGGATGATGTGTCTACAAACCAGGAAACACCAAAGATTGTCTGCAAACCACCAGAAGCCAGGAGAGGGGTGTGTGGCAGATTCCTCTCCACAGCCCTCAGAAGGAACAAATCATGAGGATACCCTGATCTTGAACTTCTAGCCTTCAGAACTATGACACAATAAGTCCTACTGTTTAGTACACCTAATTTGAGGTACTTTGTTATAGCAGCCCTAGCAAACTAATATGATATCCAAGCAGTCATTATCTCAAATATACATGATTTCATTAAAGGCAATATGGTGTGTAGCTTTTAAAATATAAAATGCTGCTGCACTGAGATGCCCAGAAGAATTGAAACAGGACTTATTGGGTTTCCCCACTTGTGGAAAGTAGAAAAGTTCATTTTTTAAGTTTTCTTTCTTGTTAAGGAATAAGTGTGCTAATAACTTTGTTAAGCTTTATCCTGTGTAGCTGTTAGATATGCCATGGTTACAGGCACATAGTACATTCTATGTGCTTGTACTTTAAATGAGATATCTGTGCTGGATGTGCTCACAGGCATGTCCCAGCTTTCCATTTCTTTTACCTGTTTAGAAAAAATTTAAGTTGTTAGTCAATTGGGTTTTAGTTTAGATTGTGAGGTGCGGTAAGAACAACCCCAAATGCATAAGGAATAAATTTGTATGTATTCCCTTTATTCTTTGTACTCTCATGGCAAGATGGCTAGTGAGAGTACCCTTCCTGCAGTCCAGGAAGTAAAAATTGCATTGCTGAAAGATCCCTTGTCTCAGTGCTAATTTTTTCTTTGTGGCACCAAGCATCTATTTCCAACATCTATTTCCAACATCTATTTCCAACACCACTCAATTAGTATTAGATCACGCCCCCCTTGTCCAGTCACATTTCTACACAACTGTCGATCATGCCTATCCAATGAAGTCCCCATAAAAGACCCAAGGGGACAGAGTTCAGGAAGCTTCTGAGCTGGCTGAACAAGTGTAGGAGGTTCCTGAAGGGTGGTGTGCCCATGGAGGGCATGGAAGCTTTAAACCCCTCCCCTAGACTTCATCTGATTAATCTTTTCATCTGTATCCTTTGTGATATTGTTAAACTTGTAAATGTAATGTGTGTATGTGTGTGTGTGTGTGTATATACATATACGTGTGTGTATATATATATATACACACACACACATATGGAAATACGTTAAAATTAGAATTTCCCAGAATTAGAATACATATGAAATTCTAATTTCAATGTATATTCTAAAATCAATTTTTCACTTATTAACTGTTTTTGAGCTACAAAAACATCAATTTCATTTGGTGCACCCTAAGATTCATGTGATTTCTGGGCTGGGATGCTGGCTTCCCTTGCTGTTAGCTTAATGGGACCACTAGGGATACATATTTTGAACTAGATTCGTTAATATTACATAGATTTCCAGTTATGTGACTTTGGCCAAGTCCCTTACCTGCCCTGAACCCTTTTCCTCCCATGTAAAACAAGGGAATGAAGCTAGTCTTCCTCTAAGTTATAGCTAAGACATTCTGGGACTTACAAGAAGCCTTGATCTAAGCAGACTTGATGACTCTTGGGCCAGTGAGCTAAAAGCAGGGCTGCTTACAGAAATAATCTCAGCTAAATAAGGGTTTGAAGACAAATATTAAAAGAGAGGGCTCCAGCAAATTAAATATTCAAAATGAAGAGTTTGGAATTTATTAAAAGCCCGTCACCATTTAAAATGCATAATTTTAGCATACATTCCCTAGAAATAGTCCCTTTGTTTGCTATGTGTTGTTGTTAATAAAGGAGATCCTACATCTAGATTTGTCATACGTCATTAACAAATCAAACGTAGGATGCAAATTACAATTATTTTGAATTATGTATTTACTATTTAATTACATTTAATTTTAGACTCTCCTAAAATTGCCTAATAAAAATTTGGGGGTGTTAAATGACTGTCTCATCTGCTTACTCTGTGCTATTTGCTGAAAATAGTTATATTGATTGTTTGGGATAATTAAAAGAAAAAAAAAAACCTAATCTGGGTCCTAAAGAAAATATCCTAAAAATTTAATGCTTTTTTTTTTTGCCTGGGTTGTAGTAAAATACTAGTAAAACGTTAGTGACACTAAACTCATTAAAATAAACCTTTGCACGTTACCACTGAATCAATTGGCTATAACTTGAATAACTAAACACAAGTCACATCAGTGCTACCCTTAGACTAGGCCAACAAGGCCTCTGCCCTGGCTTCTGTATATTGGAGGGTCTGTTCTAGCCCTTCTCTGCCCATGGTACTCCATGCAAGGCAGGGAGTTTCCAGGGCCAGATGACAGGCCCACCTGGGGTGCACATACACATGCTCTTCTAGAATATACTCTAAGTACCCAACACCCAGATATTCCCTGCTCAGAGGGGTCCAAGCTGCTTTCTAAGGTTTTAAAAGACCTCTGAGCTGTGTCTTTCCTGCAAGGGTGACCATCACTGGCATGGCTCAGTGCTGGGCCAAGAGGAGGCTGAGGTGGGGATGTGGGCAGAGTTAGGACTTGTTGGCTGGAGGAGGAGGAGGAGAGGCAGGACACACACATCCCTGCCTGTGTGTGAGACCTCTCACAATGCAAGACTGAGCCTGGGGTGGGAAATGGGGTTGGGGGGAGCTAGAGAAGGAGGCAAACTAAATTCCACCCTAGTTTTCCAGGTTCTTAAGAAGGCATATTGGTCAAAGGGGAGAGGAGAACACATATTTTACCTACAGTTCACTATCTTGAATTACAATTTAATATTTAGGCAGATGGTATGAGGGCCTCCATTCACACTCTTGCCCTGGACCTGGCAAATGTGAATGGAAGACTGAGTTAAATCATAGTTTTGTGTTGTTGGTCTTTGAGTGCTCCATCTCTCTTACAATTATAGTTTGTCACATCTTGCATCTTGCAAGTGTAAATAAAATTAATGGCATAGAAAAGAAAACAAAAGAAGTGAAAAATAAGAGACTAAAGAAACTCTACAGGCTGGGCATGGTGGTTCATGCCAGTAATCCTAACACTTTGGGAGGCCAAAGTGGGTGGATCACTGGAGGTTAGCAGTTCGAGACCAGCCTGGCCAACAGGATGAAACCCTGTGTCTACTAAAAACACAAAAAAATACAAAAATAAAATTATCTGGGGGTGGTACTGCACATCTGTGATCCCAGTTACTCAGGAGGCTGAGGCATGAGAATCTCTTGAACCTGGGAAGTGGAGGTTGCAGTGAGCTGAGATTGCACCACTGCACCCCAGCCTGGAAAAGAGAGGCCATCTCAAACAAACAAACAAAAAACAAACAAACAAACAAAAAAGAGTAAGGAAGGAATGAACGAATAAAGGCAGGCAGGCAGACAGGCAGCAAAAGGCTTAATTTTTCTGCCTAGTAGGTTTTGGAATACGGTTGGCTTCCTTCAGGAAGCTTTATCCCCAAGTTGATGATGATAAAACCTAATGCTTTCTATGTGTTGGGTTCTCTTATAAACACTAACACATATTAACCAATCGAATTAATCCTGTGTTAACAGCCTCCCACTTTACATATGAGTAAACCTGGACTTCAAAGGGTGACTAGCACACGGCCTGGCAGCTGTGTAGCAGACAGGGAATGTGAACCCAGGCAGTTTGGCCCCAGGACTCCTGCTACAGGATCCCACAGGACGTTAGGAGCATTGTCTATTATAGCTGTCTTCATAAACTTCTGCTTCCCAAGCGACTAGTTAATAATTTTTCCCTCTCGCCAATGGTACTGGCACCTGGAGCACTAAACACATCCTTAGATTCAGCAAGGATTTTCGAGTAAAAGGTTGGTGCACGGTCGGGGCTGAGCATAGCTGTTTAGTATTTGAGGGTTTGTCTTTTTCTGTGGTGTTTTGTGTCGCTTTTGAGTACTGATATAATAGAACAAGCTTAGTACAGTGCCTGGCACTCAGCAAATCCTGGCAAGAAAGGAGGCCGAGGAAAAGAAGTAAGCCAGGAGAGACGGGAGAAAGGAAAGGAATGCGCTTTGTAAACATTACCGTAGTTGGTGCGAATTCTGGAAGGTGAGGGGAAAAGAGACGCAGGTGCCGAGGCGGAGAGAAGAGGGCACCAAGCCCCGCCCCTCCGACGTGGCCCGCCCCGGCCTCACGATGCCGCGCCTCTGCCCCGCCTCTGCCCCACCCCATGCAGGTCTCCGTCCCGCCCTCCATGGCGTCTTTGCCCCGCCCCCTACGGCGTTTGCCCCGCCTCCTGCGGGCGGCCTGGCGAGGTGTTTACCCATGGTGCATCGTGGGGCGGTCTCCTCGGGCAACCCCGGCCCAACTGCCGCCCGGAGGCTGTGCTGAGCTGGCGCGGCGGCGGCTGCAGCATGAGCCGAACCACCGCATCGTCTGCGCCCCACTCGAGTCCCGACTACTACGAGAGGCTGGGCCAACTCCAGCACGGGCTGCGGGACAGGTACGTCCGCTGGGGCAGGCGTGGGGAGTCGGCCGGCGCCGAGGGTCTTCCGCGTGCCCTGCCCCGTTTTCCTTCCCGAGGTTCCCCGGGGCCTAGGCCCGCGCGCAACGCCCCCCAGGCTTCCAGTGGGGCCTAGAGGACAACGTTTACTAGAGACGCCCGCTGTATCTGGGATGGGAGCGGAGAGAGCTGAGAGACCGCCCCCCGGCCCCCTCAGTAGCCGCTAAAGCCTGGTCTCGGGTTTGAGGATGCGGCCGCGTCACAGAATTTGCCCAGCAGTGAAAGTGGGAGTTCTTCTGCCTGTCACTCTCCGTCAAGCCCTGTGAGTTTCTCTTGTCCCCTTTACACGGCCCCTCCCAACTCTCTTCAAATTGTCACCCCGCCGTGACAGCTGCACTGCATCAATGATGACAGGTTCTGGAACGCAGACGGGAGTGTGTGTGTGTGTGTGTGTGTGTGTGTGTGTGTGTGTTTGTCAAACATGTGCCCTGTTTAACTCTGGAGACTTTTGTGGGGAGCGAGGGCTGGCTAGATTTCCAGCGAAGGGATGAATTTCCAGCTGGAGAAGTCCAGCTTCTAGAAGGTTCATGATGCCTTTGATTAAGATATGAAAGATGGGAACCACCGAAAACAACTAGATCTAAGAGTGCATAGAAAGAGAAAATTATACCGCAATGCACATAAATAACCACGTAAAATAAATTGCTGGACCTCTTATTTAGCTGCTAAGTTAATTAGAGTTGTAAATCCCATTAGTTGACAAGAAAGGAAATGGATTTTTGGATCTCTTGATAAACAAAACATTTAATGAGTGTTGAAAGTTACAAAACCATTCTAGTGCACAGGAGAGCTGTGTGTGTGACAATGCCAAAATGATAATAATTACATGGAAAATAAAGGCAGAAGTAAGTGATTTTGAAAAGGAATTACAATTAAATCTTATGCTAGATTTAATTCTCGTCAGATGTTTATAGAGCATCTACAACAGGCTTTCTTAATTGTCCTTATCATTTTTTCCTTTGTGCTCCTTTTCTACATCCTGTTTTCTTTCTGACATATCACTCACCCATATCAGTGACCTTTTAATTTCTAACTTTAGAAAGAAATCACTTCCTGCAGAGCCTTCCCTGTTTCAACCCATTCCTTAACTTTTGTGACTCTTGGCATTCTTACAGCACTCATAAATAGCATTCTCTTTGAACTGTTAGTTGTAAGTTATTTTTGTTTGCTGTGCTAGGAACACCTGGCTGTTTATAGTCCTTATGGCACAATAATTGTATAATGATTATGTACTTTATGATTAACACTTACTCCTTTAATTATTAAACAAGGTGAGGCTGTTGAAAACATATAAGGAATTTGAGTCAAATTTTATAGTCTGTTCATGGCTCTACATTTGGAGGTTTGTTTTATTTTTAAGTCAGTACAAATCTGTTGCTGTGTGTGTTCATTTTTCATTTTAAGAATTTACAACTGATTCAAATTAAGGCGCATTGTACACAGTTATAGAGGCAAATAACTCTAGGTACAGAAAAGGCTGCAGTAGAAACATCAAAACCTGGATTCTAGGTTATGAACAATTGTGTGACCTTGAGCAGGTTGTTCCATCTCTCTGAATCTTGGTTCTTTACCAGAATGGGGGGGCTTGACTAATATGCAAAAGTAAGTCACAGATTTGTTGTTTCTCTTTGCTAGAAGAATAGGCCTTAAAGTAAAAAAGAAAAAAAAAAGCCGAAAGTTGTAGTTTTGCAAAGCAATGTGTAAAGAATATTACTGTCTGTATCCAATTTGAGTGTTTGGATGTACCTTTTTGTTTGTTTGAGACATAGTCTCACTCTGCTGCCCAGGCTGGAGTGCAATTGTGTGATCTCAGCTCACTGCAATGCCTGATACCCAGGTTCAAGTGATTGTCCTTCATCAGCCTCCCAAGTAGCTGGGATTACAGGCATCCACCACCAACCCCAGCTAATTTTTGTATTTTTAGCAGAGATGGGGTTTTACCATGTTTGCCAGGCTAATCTTGAACCCCTGACTTCAGGTGATCTGCCTGCCTCTGCCTTCCAAAGTGTTGGGATTACAGGTGTGAGCCATCACACCCAGCCTTGGATATACCTTCTTAAACAAACACAAACAATTCCAGTGATAATTTCACTGTCTCTTAAATTTCTGAATCATTTCATAGGTTGCAACCCTGGGTAGTCACAGCTGCTTTATTGATCCAGAATCTTCTGGGAAGTGAGAGACAAAAAAAACTCCCTCTTTCTCAACCCTTTTAGAGGTGGTCATTGCAATGTTAGCTGGTCAAATAACCAGCATATTTCTAGCCCGTCATCTTAGCTGTAATTACATGTAGATGCAATTTTATAGTCGGAATGTTTTCCTATATGTGTACAGTGTTTTCTCTGCATTGTGGTGAAAGTCAATAATTGAATCTAAAAGAGTCTAATGGAGTGACTTGTTATAGTGTGTATAGCATCCACAAGCATGATAGAAACTTACAAGTGGAATTGGCTCTTAACAGTTATATAAAAACATCCCTTTAAAAGGACCCATTAGCCAGCCATGGTTTTTTTCAGTGCCTATATTGATTCAGAGTAAAATATCATAATAGTCTAGAAACTGATACTGAGATATTAGTAGATTAAGCTGAAGATGGTATTGAATTGTAGTATCAAGACAAAAACAGAATAACAAGTGGCTTAAAAGTAGAAAACTCAGCCAGATAAGGACCACTCAGCTGTATAAAACTGAAAGGTCCAAGTGAGGGGTGCAGGTGACTGAAAACATGAACTATGGGTAAGCATCCCAAGGATGGATGTTTCAAAGATTCTGAAATAGAGATTTAATGTGTAGGAATTGCAAATCATGGAAAAGCTTTTCATTGCGGCAAATACCTGATTTTTAGTATTAAATTTAAAAAAGACATGGAGGGCTCAGCATTCAGAGGTGCTGCAGTGTGGATCAGGGGCTAGAAAATAGGCCTGTGAAGAAAAGTTAACAAGATTAGTGCCATTTTGCCTGGGAGAGAAAGCCAAGAGGTGTTTGATTGTCAGGGTATGAAGTGTTATGATAGAGAAGAAGTGTGAGCAGCAGATGTCTGCATCTGCTGAAGAAGTTTTACATTCATTACTAAGAACTTGCTACTTGGGAGGTGATGGATTTCCAAAGTGACTGTGGTCCTTTTTCACTAGAAGTCATAGATGAATGTTAAAAATTATTTTAAAGTGGCCAGGTGTGGGGGCTCAAACCTGTAATCCCAGCACTTTGAGCGACAGAGGGCAGGAGTTCGAGACCAGCCTGGCCAACATGGCGAAACCCCATCTCTACTAAAAGTACAAAAATTAGCTGAGTGTGGTGGCACATGCCTGTAATCCTAGCTACTTGGGAAGCTGAAGTAGAATCGCTTAAACCTGGGATGGAGAGGTTGCAGTGAGCCGAGCTTGCACCAGTATACTTGTCTGGGCAACATAACAAGACTCCCATCAACACAGCAAGACTCTGTCTCAAAAAGAGAGAGAATGAGACAGAGAGAGAGATAAATATAATTGTATATAATTAATATAATGATATTAAATATATAGAATTATAATTTAAATATTAATTATATATAATTATATAATTAATGCAATTATATATTAAAGTAAATTCTAGCTTACAAAAAAGTTGCAAATGTAGGACAAAGACTTCTAATATTCCTGTCACCTAGATTCCTCAACTATTAACGTTTTATTAGATTTTCATTGTCTTTCATTGATACTGAGATACTAGTTCAATATCTGTCTAAATCTTTCTGTCTAAAACCATTAGCCTTTTCTGAGCTATGAGAAGTGTATGTATGATGCCTCATCACTCCTAAAATCTTCAATGTGTATTTCCAAAAACCAAAGATGTTCTTGTACATAATCACCGTACAGCCCTCCTAGTTGTGAAACCAACCCACAGACCCCATCAGATTTCACCAGCTGTCTTAACGATGCCATGCCCCCAACATTTTTTTTTTGTCCTGGTCTAGTGGCTCATCTGGGAACCTAGGTTACATTTGGTTGCCATGTCTCTTCAGTCCCCTCACATCTGGAATGATCCTCAATCTTTCCCTGTCTTTCATGTTCCTGACAAATTCATAGAGTACAGCTTTCATTCTAGAGGGTGACCTCAGCTGAGTCTGTCTGATGGTGTCTCATTACCAGACTACAGTCATGCTTTCTTAGGAATACAATAGAAATGAAGCACTACCCCGGGGTACAGGGTCATAGATGTATTTAGAGGTCTTCCTGCTCTTGTAATGTAATGACAAGTTACTCACACTATTCAGTCATTCATTCTTCATGAACTGAGTACCCAACTGATTGTGAAACTCTAGAGGGGGAGTGGTAACTAATAAAAATTTCTAATGTGGAAGCAATTATGCCATATGTCCTTCACTTCTATTCTAAGTTCACTCTTAGTGAGAAAGTAAAGATGTGTGATGCTGTTGTAAAAAATGTGTGTTTTTGTCATTTTTTTCCTTTTAATCTTTTTTCTTCCCTTTTTAACATAGGCATACTCCAGTCCATAGGTTGTGTTTCCCAAGTGAAGATTCTGTGTCTGGACCCCATTTTCCCACTAAATAAATTTTGGTTAAATGGTAGTTTCCATTTAACATTATGCAGAAAAAACTTTTTAAATCTGTAATGTAGCTAACAGTGACTTTGGGGATGATCTTTTTTTAAAGGAAAAAAAATTATCTGAAGAAATTTAGAAACTAATAATTAAGAGCTCACAAATGGAACATGAGGCCAGCCCCTTTCCCTCAGGAAGCCAACTGAGATCACCTCTGTCGGAGTCTTTATCTTTGTTTCACAGCCTTTTATTTAGGATTCTCCACTTGGATAGGATATTATGTGGTTTCTTTTTTGGCCTTTACTTAATGTTAACTTAGATTAGCAATTTAGCTCCAGTTAGGTGGGTTTGAAGCAAATGGTGGTGCTCAAATGAAACCCTCTGTGGCTAAACCTCCCAGGCACTCTTCTTGGGACTGAATGGTTTCATCATTTTTACCTCCCAGCCCCCTGGTTTTGGCTGCCTCTGCTTCCTTTGCTGCCCAGTTCCCTTCTCCCTACTGCTAGCACTCACCTGAACAGCACAGGTTCAATCTTTACTGACAGTAGCTCCAGGGAAACAGCAACCTGTGACAAATAATGGTACCATTATAGAGTTATACAAAGAAATTCTTCCAAATTTGAAGTGATAGTGTTAGGAGACCTGGTTTTCATGTAAGTGAGGCCAGGTTTACTTTTCAGAGGCCCTTCTCTAGCTCATGCACTTGGCTGTGCCCAGGCTTGTCTGACTGAAAACAGAGCAAGCCACCAGTCTTCAATCTGTATACAAGATGTAATGGGACTCCATCACTGAAATGCCAGAGACTCTGAGAAGCCTAGCCACATTACATTTTCTATACTTATATTGTTTATTATTGTCTGTCCTTCTCCCTAGAACGTCAACTGTCTGAGGGCAGGGATCTTGGCTGGCTAGTTTACCATATTAGTTTACAGGCCTAGAACAGTGCCTGGGTCATCATAGGCACTCAGGAAATACTTGCTAAATTAAGGTACCTGCTTCCCAGCTTTTTCCTATTGTGTTTCCCATTTACTTTGTGAATCTGTTCTTTTGCCTCATATCGGTGTTCTTTTTGTTTTTTAGATTTCCCTGGTGACGGCTGCATACTTTTATGTCTTTGTTTTAGATGCATCTGGCATTTTCTTCTTAGACCAGAGAAACATTCTCATAAAGGAGTAATTTGGTATTTGGAGGTTTTTTTGACCTCTAATCAACACCTTGCAACAAAGGCATGATTTCAAAGGAGAGCATGGTCTAAATCCAACTCCCTATTACTTATCAGTATAATTACTTATAAAATGTTTCTTTTTTTATTATAGTGAAAAGAAGAGATTGGACCTGGAAAAGAAACTTTATGAATATCACCAGTCTGATACATACAGGTAAGAGATGACAGTGAAGATAGTTTTCAAGCCAGGTTGTATATATTAATAAAAAATTTAACCCTAATGTTATATCATAAATATTGTAGCTAAAGACTGGTGTTTTTTTTATTTGTTTTGTTTTGTTTGAGAGGGAGTCTTGCTTTTTCTCCCAGGCTGAGTGAAGTAGCATGATCTTGGCTCATGATAACCTCTGCCACTTGGGTTCAAGCAATTTTTTCTGCCTTAGCCTCCCAAGTGGCTAGTATACCTGGGAAGGCACCCACCACCATGCTGGCTAATTTTTCTATTTTTAGCAGAGACTGGGTTTCACCGTGCTGGCCAGGCTGGTCTCAAACTCCTGACCTTAAGTGATCCCCATGCTTCGGCCTCCCAAAGTGCCGGGATTACGGCCGTGAGCCACTATGCCCAGCCTAATTGGAGTACTCTTAACCATTCTCTTATTTTTAGTGTGTAATAATTTGAAATAAAACACTGCAGTTTAATTACTATCAAATAAATTTGGTTAAAATTGGTATGAGATTAAAATATCTTATTTTCATTATTTCATACTTGTTTTATTTCCAGAATCTATTTTGCCTAAAAATCTTAAAATAAGACATAGTCTTATCTTTTTGGTTGCAATTTAAACACATTGAGCTTGTGTGATGATTAAGATGTAATTTCGTGGTTGATCTTTCAACGTACTACTGTTGGCAGGGTTACATGGTATCTCATTTGTTCATGGTTATATAAGAATGACTGTTAAAATTATAAGCAGTGAATAATATATTGTACATATTATCCTTTTTAGGTTTCTTCCTCTACTATTAAGAGCAGGCTTTAAATATTTTAATTTCTATTTCATAAAAACTGAACTTTATCCTTAAGCTAAAAGTATGGCATTACCTCTTTTATTATTCATGTGAAGAACTTCTGGCTTTGATAGCGTTAAATTTGTGATTTATCCATGTCACACTACGAGTGAGAAATGAAAAGATCTCATCCAGAAGAGAGAGGCTAAGAATCCTTTAAAATCAAATTACCTCTTAGGTCAGTTCTTTTCCTTGTCTTCAAAATCATTCTTTGGTTTTAAGATTTAGTGTACTTCTAAAGCTTTCAGTTAGTGTACTTCTAAAGCCAGATGTATGGCTTCTAAAGCAGCCATACTCCTCTAGTAACTCTGAAAGAGACAAGAACTCACTTGTTTTGTGTGAGGAAGAAATAGCCAGCATTGTGGATGCCGTGGCCTCAGGAGTGGGCTGAAGTCTGAGGGGATCCTTGGCAGCTGCCAGTTTTCTAGCCTATGGCTAAAGAAGCAGAAGACTGTGTGTAGGCGTTTCATGTAGTCTGTTCTTGGGAAGCCTCCTGGCCTTCTGGTGGTGGGAGAAAAGGATGGGCACCTTTACCAAGCTGTCAGTTCACTGAGCTGCTGCTTCTCTCCCAGTCTCTTACTGAGGATATGATTTTCTAAAAATAGGCTTGCTTAGATTGCCTGTAGGAGAAAATCCAAACAAGGCTGCTTCCACCTGGTACCTGCCAGAAGGCAGAGTCTGAGATGAGGGTCTGTGTGTAGGTGGTAATTTATTTGATGAGGTGATCACCTAAAATTGGAGAGTAGAGCTGGACAGAACAAAATAAGAGCTGTTCACTACAGTGAGCACCTGGGGCTCAGCCCCTCCAGACCTTCAGAGGAGCCTTCAGAGGAGCAACGTACCCTTCTGCTTTGCACAGTGACTCCTGCGAAAGGAAAGGGGGTTGCATTCTTACTGGTTCCTGACCCCCCCACTGGTAAGGGCAGCCCCAGGTGGTGTTAACTTCTTCTTACATCTAGGCTTTTCCATGCTGCAAACTCAGAAAGGCGTCCCTGAGATAGCAAGATGCTAAGTGCAGCTGAGGCAGAGGCAGATGTTCTCAGGTGATGTTATACCACATGCAGCAGGCTGTGGCAGCTATGGTGACTGTGGCTGGTAGAGAAAAGGTTGGGCCAAGAGGTGTGAGGTGGGCATGAGCAGTGTCCCATCCAGCAGCCCACCAGACTAACCATTATGTATACCCTTTTTAATTTACCATCACCATCTCTTTCCAGCCTCCCCTGAAGATTTGACACTGACTGAAACGTCAGGTTCTTAAGCATGATGGGATCTTTTATAATATAGTGTAGACTTCTGGGCTTTGTGGTTAGTTTACCACAGTTCTATCTGAGCCTCACAGCTATTAGCCTGTGACCTTGGGGCAATTACTCCAACATTCTGTGCCTCCATTTCTTCTGTCAAATGGGAATAATGATAACTGTGAGAACTCAACAAGATTCATATAAAGCCTTAAAGCAGTGTCTGACCTAGAGTCAATTATTATTTATTATAATTTTATCAACATTCTTGTTCCCATTTATTGCCTTTGAGCTTTCTGACATGCTGTTTTCCCTGCCTGGAATGTTTTACCCTCATCTTTTCATTTTTGATGTTACCAATTTTGATTGACTCTCATTCATCTTTCAGGTTTTTTTTTTTTTTTTTTCTCAAGACAGGGTCTTGCTCTGTAGCTCAGGTTGGAGTGCAGTGGTGTGATCTTGAGTCACTGAAGCATCTGCCTCCTGGTTTCAAGTCATTCTCCTGCCTCAGCCCCCTGAGTAATTGGGGTTATAGGCAATGCCCCCACAGCTGGCTACTTTTTGTATTTTTAGTAGAGACGAGGTTTCACCATTCTGGCCAGGCTGCCCTTGAACTCCTGACCTCAAGTGATCCTCCACCTCAGCCTCCCAAAGTGCTTGGATTACAGGCATGAGCCACTGCTCCTGACCCATCTTTCAGGTCTTAGCTGAAAATTATTTCCACTGGGAAGGCCTCCCTGAGTCTTTCAGCTAGGTCAGGTTGCCCAGTGTGTAGAAGACCTTTTTAGTTTCCCTCATAGCATTCATTCATCATGTATTTACTTATTTCATTGTTTTCTTTGTTGAGCTTAGCTGAAAGACTTTGATATTTGGAGTGCTGAATATATGGATGATTTCTTGGGCAGATAAGTTACTCGTGTTCCACTTTGAAGGTTAATGTGGTGGCCGGAATGGAACTAGAATTTGGATGGAAAAGGCATGGTACTATTATACCCACTCCAGGTAGACACCAGCAGCAGCAGCTTTACTAGTGCCTGAGTGTGAAAGACAGTATGTTAGGTTCCACCTCCCTTATAGTTACTTGCATCAAAAACGCAGAGACACGGGCAGCAATAAGACCAGCCTTCAGTTTTTTGTTCAGAAAGAAAAATCAGGACAACCAACCATGGTCAAAGCACAGAATTATTAACACAATAAAGACTTTCTTGAAAATTGTTGGCCTAGGGTTGGAATTTTAAGGTCTGTTGCTAAACAGCTTTAGATATCTCCAGCGTCTTTGCAAATCTTTAAGGGTGAGTATTTTTGTCATTCTAAAATTTATTTTTGTTTGATGAAAGAATGTTGAATACTTTATTGAGCCAACAATAGAAATGCTGTGTAATAGGGAAGAAGAGAATTAACAGCATTGGTACCGTGAGAAAAGTGGACTGCACAAGTTGAACTATCCAGTCTGGTTTTTTTTTTTTTTTTTTTTTTTAAGTACAGGAAAGTTGGAATGCAGAGTATGCTTTTGCCATTACACTTTGGATAAGAGTCTTAAAGGTTTTTTCACAGTTCGAGTAGTTACAGTTCATATATTATTTTAAAATATTTTAATAGTGAATTATATTGTAATTTCTAACAAATATGTTTATATTCACTAAATGAGAAATTTTGGTATTTTTAATTTTTAAATTTCTTTTTAGTTTCTTAATTTTATGGATTGTGATTTGTAGTTTGATTTAATTTTCATATGAGGAGTTGTTTTTGAAATTGTCTGTCATATATCAGAATGTTAGTGAGACATTTGTCGAACATGGCCACATAGACACCACTCTTGACATCACATTTAATTTTGAGAAATAAATCCATAGAAATCTTTACTATATGAATGTTAGAATGTGGACTTGTATTTATTTCTCAGGAGAGTTATGCTTTAGAGGAAACCAGTATGATACCTCAGAGGTACCGCATTCATTTTCTCTCTCTAAAAATACATATATGTATTTTGTCCTTTGGGTTTCAGTGGTTTGAGTAAAATATCTTAGAATACATTGTTTCATTAACAATTTTGATAAAGAAAATTCTCTTTCTTAGATTCGTCCAACTCTAGTCCATTGTTTTAAACCTGCTTTTATTTTTCTAGAGTTAAGCTGAAATATGTGAAACTAAAGAATTATCTGAAGGAAATATGTGAATCTGAAAAGAAGGCTCATACTCGAAATCAAGAATATTTAAAGCGATTGGAGTATGTCCAAGCTCATGTTGGGCACTTCACCACAAATACAGAGAAGCTTCAAAAACTGAAGGTGACATCTTGTTTTTTTACTATGTTTTATTGTATTTCTTGTTATTTATTTATTTATTTTCGAGATTGGGCCTCACTGTGTTACCCAGTTTAGACTTAACTCCTGGGTTCAAGTCGTCCTTCTGTCTCAGCCTCCTGAGTATCAGGGATTACAGACACACACCCCACAGCTGTGTACCTTCTGAGTGGCTGAGATTACACATTCGCACGCCATGTAGCTGTGTACCTCCGGAGTAGCTGGGATTAGAGATGCACACCCCAGGTTTATGTTTGTTTTGTTTCTAATCTTTTTTTTTTTTTCTAAAATGAGAAATGATAAGTAGTAAGTTTCACATCAGTGGTAGTCTCTAATGTTCAGTTGTTCATACTTAGGATTAAGTATCAGCCTTTTCTGTGAATTACCATATGGCTAAATTATATCAGAGAACTTGATACTGCATTTTCCAACATTCTTCTTTAGTTGAGGAATCAATGGAATATCTATAACACAGGCAAGATCACTAGCCAGTACAGGCACAGTGTGACGCATGGAATTTGTTGGCTGAATGAATGAATTTGAGCAGCATTGGGGTTCTCTCTAGAAACTGCTTCTGTCTTGAAAGGGTTGTTTTTCTATGGTCTGGGCCCCTCTTCTCTGGCAGACAGTGCCTTGGGATAGCAGTAAGGGTAGAACTGTCCCCAAGGAGTTTGCCTTCATGCTCCTGTACTGTGCGATCCAGAGTGACTGCCCTTGCAGTCCTCTCTGGTTCTGGCACCTTCTTCGCCTTAAGATGGAGGCGCTTAGCTACTTGCTGCTCTACAAATTATGCCAAATGTGGAGGGCCAGGAGCTAGGCCTTTATCCTCACCATTTGTACTGGTCAGGTATTGTCCACTTTAACCCAGTTGAACACTGGTCACAGGAAGAGTTGGATTCAGTATTCTGTCTGCTACTCTGCTACTGAGCCCCCCATACTTTTTTTTTTTTTTGCTCTATAGTGTTTCTTCAGCCTTTTATTGTAAAATTTTCAAATACACAGAAGAATTACCGTAATTATTATGATGAACACTCATAATTCACTTAGCTGCAATAGTTGTAAATATCTTGTTATATTTGCTTTGTGTGTATATTTTTTTTCTCTGAGCCATTGCAAGTCTGCTGCAGGCATTATGACACTTCTTTCCTAAGCACTTGAGCATGGATCTCCTAAATGAAGGAGCAAGTCTCCTGCATAATCATATCATTATCACATCTAAGAAGATGAAAAGTGATTCCATAATTTTTTTTTTTTTTTTTTTTTTTAGATAGCTCCTCAGCCTGTCATCTAGGCTGAAGTGCAGTGGCATGATCATGGCTTACGGTAGCCTCAACCTTTGGCTGTCACCCTCAGTCCAAAGCCAATGTCTGTTGTGTGCCTACAAACCCAGACAGCAATGTCAGAGACCCCACCAGTGATCCCACCTTCTTCAGCAGGCTGTGCAGTGAGCTGAGGTTCAACACAGGGGATGTTTGTCTCTGGTGTTTTCCCATTTCTTTCTTCTTCTTCCTTTTGGGTCAGTGTCCAGTGGTGGCCCAGGTATGCTAGAACCCCTTGTCTCCTCTTAATGCTGCCCATCTGGGTATCGAATCTTTACCTCCTTTCTTGACTGACCTCACATAAGTCTTAGGAGAAAGGTGTTCACAGTGCATTGCCCACATACCCCAAAATGCCACAGGAATTTCACCTTGAATAGACGACAGTTAATACAAATGAATTTCAAATTGGTAGAATTCCAGAAAGTGAAACCAAGTGAAGCAATATGAGAGAAGTGGGGATTTTGCCCAGGTTAACACCAGGTTTCTCCCACTTTGTAGAGGGGGGGCTGGGCCAGCTCATTATATAATGTTAAAATCTCTTAAAATGGGCTAAATGCTGAAAACATTGTCAACTGATTTTATGACTCATAATACTTTATTTGGAGGCCTATAATAATTTTTTAAAGCTTTTAAAGGATATTGGCCTGTTAGGTAGTTTTGAAAATATGGTGTTGTATCTATTTTGCTATTTGTCAATTGGATAGAGGCTGAATAAACACAGTTCAAAAATATAAATATTAGATCTGGGCATGGTGGCTCATGCCTATAATTCCAGTGCTTTAGGAAACTGAGGTGGCAGGATCACTTGAGGCCAGGAGTTCGAGACCAGCCTGGCCAACGTAGTGAGACCCCAAATGTACAAAAAATTTAAAAATTTGCCAGCTCTGGGGGTGTATACCAGTAGTCTCAGCTGTTCAGGAGTCTGAGATGGGAGGATTATTTGAGCCTAGGAGATCGAGGCTACAGTGAGCTATGATGGTGCCACTGCAGTCTAGCCCAGGTGACAGAGCAAGACCCTGTCTTTGTAAAAAATAATAATAATAAAATAAATTTTAAAAATCCAAGAATGTAAATATTAGTATTAACGCTGTGAGGAGTGTGCCCTTCTCTCCCTCATTCTGCCCCTGTTCGCTGTATTAGCTGCTTTTGTAGAAGGGGCCCCAGTTGGTCCTAACTTAAAGCATTTTCACTCAGGTGCCCCTTATTCTTGTCTCAGGTTGGGTTTTCCCTGAAGCAGACCTGGAGAACAGGGATTTGACGTTAAGTGGTTTATTTGGGAGACAAGGAATATCAGTAGTCAAGCTGGGAGGGGAGGCAGGGAGAGCACTGGGTGTATTGTTAAACCAGCTACCATAGTCAGCCTCCGGCGCTAAATCCTACAGGGAAGTTCTGGCAAGTGGTTTGCACATTTGGGGTATATATCCAGCAGCTCCTAAGCAACATTGATTGAGGATAGATGGGTGAGGTTGTAGGTGGTAGGGAGTTAACCATATGCTCTCCACAGCAGTCTTCCCAGGTTCTGAGAAGCCTTAGGCACAGAGCCCTGATTCCAGAACTTAAGAGTGGCTAGAAAGATCCCAGAGACATGTGTGGAACATTACCAACATCTGCCTTAATTAGCCTCCCTCATGGCAGCATTGCCAGGCATGGGGCCGACATGGGGCATTCAGGGAGGATCCCCATGGCAGGCATGAAAGCTTTCATCTGGTTAGGTCTCTCTTTGGCCTGAAATGCTGGACCAGGCTTTTCAGAATAAAGCCCAGATACTGGTCTCTGCCTACACAGAATAGCCTCATCATTATTACTCCTCCCAACACACACTCTCACTCTTTCTTACCCTCTCTGTTGCTGTCTCTCTCACACAACTACACAGATGTGCACATTTTTACTCCCCATCTCTCCCCAATCTGTCCCCCTCCACTTTCTCCTGCCATCACCATTTCTCCCTCTTATCTTTTCTCCTCTGCTATTCCTGTCTCCCTGCCTCTCCTTACCCCCAAATCTGTCTCTTCCAGATCCTCTAACTATTCCACCCCGATCTTAGCACTGTCTCTACATTTTTATCTCCTGCACATGTGCGTGCACGCACACACACACATACCCACAGTACTTTAAGCATGCTGCACAATTTGCATTTCCTTGAAAGCACCACATTATCTCATAACCTCCTTCAATTAGAAGGCCTTTTCTCCCCTGCCCTGCCTTAGGTCTGTGTCATAATTATCTCAGTAAGCACTTCCTTCATGGTATTATAATTGTTTACATGTCTGTTTTCCCACTTCACTGTGAGCTCCTTGTCTTATTAGTTCAGTGCTCTCAGTATCTGACCCAGAATATGGCACATAATAAGCACTCAGTAAGCATCGAGACTTTCCCCTTGACTGCAATTAATTCTCCCATATTTTTTACCTTATTCTCTTATGGACCATGAACAACTATGTAAGAACTAATGTGGTATTGATGATACTCTTTATTATACCTTCCCAGTTAGCATTTCTGTTTAATAGCAGAGATATTCTGAATATATAATTTCATTATTTAAAGATGTGATTCTCCAGGCCTGGGTAACATGATGAGACCCTGTCTCTACAAAAAAATAGAAAAAATTAGCTGGACATGGTGGCACTAGCTCTAGTCCTCTAGTCCCAGCTATTCGGGAGGCTGAGGTAGGAGGACTGATCGAGCCCAGGAGGCTGAAGTGCAGTGAGCTGTGATCATGCCACTGCAATCCAGCCTGGGTGACAGCAAGACCTTGTCTCAAAAAAATAAAGTGAAATAAAATAGATGTGATTCTCCATGAAAATTCAGTCATTAGGTTATGTATGGCTGTTAGGTGCTAATATTTGAGGAAAACCAGTCTTTTGAAGTCTGATTTGATTTCTACTAAGGATTGTGACAGACATTGTGGGCAGGGCACAACCTTCAGGCCCCTGGAGGACAAAGTGTAGCAAATGCCTTTTTTTTTTTTTTTTTTTTGAGATGGAGTTTCACTCTTGTTGCCCAGGCTGGAGTGCAATGGCGTGACCTCGGCTCACGGCAACCTCCATCTCCCAGGTTCAAGCGATTCTCCTACCTCAATGAGAGTGTCTTGCCTGTTAATATGCATTACTTGAAAAAATAAATGTTCCCCCATATCTTCTGGTAACAGTTCATGATCTAAGATGAAGCACAGATACTGGAAAAAAAGAAGAGAAAACAAAAGACTGTGAATCTTAGTCCCATCTCTCATACTCACCTAAGGATCAAATCAGCCCATTATGTTACTCTCTGTACCCATTTCCTCAACTCTAATATGAGGAGACAGGGCCAGCAGATCTTAAATGTCGATTCCGTTCAATTATTTACTTATTCTGTTACCTGATAATTAGCTCTGCAACCCTGGAGAACAATGAAAAAGGAAATCTGTGGCAAAAAAGGTAGTGGTGGCACTTTCAGGCAAACAGTGAAGTGATGGAGAGGAAATTGATGGAAATGAGAATACGGAAAGAAACATAATGGAAAGCGTTTGTGAGCATGGAGAGATCCCAGAGACCTGAAACTTCTGCCAGAACCTCCATCAACCCCCAGTCATTGTTAACAGATTTCAGTAATTAAGCTGAAATAAATTGCTTGTGCATAGTGAGAAAGTAAATGGGAAGGTCCTGCTAAGTTTAGGTAGGGAGCATCAACCCAATGCTGTTAAGGGATACGGTGACAGACAGAACAAGTTACCTGATAGATTAACTCAGTGCTCTTGGGTTTATTAAAACAGATTTCTCGGGTTGGGGCGGGGGAGATGAGGGGATTATCCTTAGAGGGGCTCTAGACCAGGAGATGTTACTGGGGCATGAGTAGGCTCTGAAGAGCACTGTGGAAAACTCCTGCTCTCCAGTGTTCAGGATATGGATAATAACCAAGTGTTGCATGTAAAAATAAAAGGAAAAAAAAAAGAAGATAAAAAGAGAACAAAGCGTTTTTTGATGGAAATCCATGGACTTAGGGGATGCAGACGTACAGTCTGTATCAGACCTTAATTTATCATAGTATCTCCTTGACTTCATTCTGCCATTTCTATTTTAGAATATCTACAGTTCAGTGACTTTTTCAGATGCATTGAGAGCAATCTAAATTGGGCTCTTAGAGATACTTCTTTCTGTTTTTTAGGAAGCCTTTATGCAGTTATCACTTCCTTTTTCCTTCAGCAAAATGAACAAATCTCTCATATTTCTATGAGAAAGTGCTCTGTCTTTGGAAGGTATGACTCTGAAATGAACCTATAATAAGGAAATCAGGTACAATATTCATTGATCTCAAAGAGCGTAAGAAAACATTGGTGTCACAGGAAAAAACATTTTTGTTTAACCTGTAATTGTATGTTTATATTATAATTCATCCCCCATTTGTTTTTTGAGATATTATTCCTTGGAATCTGTAAAGGATGCTGGTTTAAAGCCCTTGGGGTTAAAATTTAAACATCTCTAAGTTCAAAGGAATAGATATAGTACAGAGGGAAGTAAATTTTATCTTTGTTATTGCTTTATGTATTCTTAGTTTATTATTTTATCATTTGTACTGACCTTATAAAATTTTCATTTAATTGAGTGTCTGTTTAGAGAATTACTGCCATCTATCATATTAATAGTACTCTGTTGGAGGAAAAAAAAAATCCATACCTAACTGTTACTAAAAATGAGACAGCATATATTAATAATACCTCTTAAAATATTTTGAGGGAAACAAATCAGTTTGGTTATTATTGCCCATTTGTTTTTTGTGTGTCAAAACAAAGCTCAGGCCTATTTTATGTTCTATCAGAGAACTAAGGAAGCAGCTTTCTGATTTCATCATCTCATAGGTGTGTTTCTAATTGCAGTGCATAACTGCCTAATTTAGAAAATGTTCTGATACTTATCTGTGATGGACCACAATCCATGACTTTTTTAAGGCTTTAATTACTAGCATACTGAATCAAAGTGCTTTTTTATGCCTTGCTTTTAAGAAAAAGTCATTTTAAGATTGAATCACTTTCACCAATTATAGTGTAGTAATGATGCAGACATCTTTATGTAGTTATTAGTGCCAGAGCAACTGGATTCTGATCATTGATGTCTGCAGTATATTTTTATTCATAGAAAATGGAATTTGTTTTAAGTTGATGATCTAGCAGGTATACTCAATTGCTATGACTATCAGAACCATGATGTTATGTAGATATATAGATAAGAAATCAGTAAGATTGATTTTTTTTCTTTTGTTTGGGGAAAAACTTTTCAAAGGAAACACTGTCTAATGTGTTACTTCCCTAATACAGCAATTATATTTTTGTGATAGTTTAAAGTATCAAACTGTATGTATATATATGTGTGTGTGTGTGTGTGTGTGTGTGTGTATAAATTTTATTCCCTAAATTGATGAAAGTAAAAATCTATCAAATCTTATTTATTTATTTATTTTTTGAGACAGAGTCTTGTTCTGTTGCCAGGTGCCAGGCTGGAGTGCAGTGGGGCCATCTCGGCTCACTGCAGCCTCCGCCTCCTGGGTTCAAGCAATTCACCTGCCTCAGCCTCCTGAGTAGCTGGGACTAAAGGTGTGCACCACCACACCCAGCTAATTTTTGTATTTTTTAGTAGAGATGTGGTTTCACCATGGTCTTGATCTCTTGAGCTCGTGATCCGCCCGCGTTGGCCTCCCAAAGTGCTGGGATTACAGCCACCGAGCCGTGCCCAAATCTTATTTATTTAAAAATTGTAGCATTTTGTAAAATTCAACTTTTGATATGTGTTATTTATAAAAGTGTTCATTTTGTAAGATAAGGTGAATTTCTTGGCAACATCAGCTTTTACTTTCTACTTCAGTGCTCCCTATATGTTGTAAAGACTGCAATACAGAGACAGGTGCTAGTTGTAAAGATATTTATCACAAAATCAAACTTTGTTTGTATTTAGATTGAATATGAGACTCAAATTAAGAAGCTGCTGCTCGAAAAAGATAGCCGAGGACTAAAAGGTGAACTGAAAGATGAAGACGGAGAAAAGGTAATAAACTAAATTGATAAACTTTCTGTTAACAGAGAGTTTCTAGAGTGTTTATATTTTAAGATACTGGTTTAAATAAAATCATCTTATTGGTAAGATCCTTTTGATTAAACCTTAAGTGATTATTTAAAGATTTTTGCTTACAGAGTATTGCTTTAATGTCTAATTTAATTAAATTTGCTGAAAGGAAGGAGTTACTCTGGGGTAAAAGGATAGACTCTAAAGAAAACCTCAGTGTTCTCAATAGGCAAAATTGTTTTTCTAAATCATGCTTTCTAGCTGCTCTTTTCTTAGTTTGAGAAGAGTTTTAAATGAAAAGTAAACAAAATATGGCATTTTGATTGTTTTGTGTGAATATATATAATTTTGTACATTTTAACCTTTGCACAGAAAAAGTGGAAAGAAAAGATTGCATATTTAAGCAATAGACAAAAAGATCAGCAAGGAATACTCAAATAAATTCTGTTACGTATCTGCTGTAATGCAGGCTTCTAATCCTCCTGCCTATCTCCATATAAATGATTCTGTTCAAGACCATAGATGTTTTCTTCGCTAAAAGCAGTAAAGCTCTTTTAGATGAAATGTCTAAAAACATCTTGTAATAACTTGGAGCATGCTGGCAAGAGTAGTCACTTGTGACTATATGTGAAACCCCCTCAGCCAGTCGATATTGTAATAAGCAAAAATGGTAGCATCACTCCATTATTCAGAAAAGCCAACAGCGTGCTTGTTCCTTAGGCTGCAGCATTCATTAAGAAAAGCTTACTGGGCTGAAAGCTGGAAACAGATGATAACGGGATATGATTTTCATATTTAATGCTTTCCTTGGAAGAGTATGTGTGCTACAGATTGATAGAAGAATCAACTGCTACTTTACTAAAAGACTTTCAGGTTTGCCCTATAGCTACCGATGGAATCATTCAGCCAAGAAATTAACTTTTTCTCCTTTTACCTGCTTTATATATCTGCTAAGCAGGCTGCCTGGCTGCCAGTAAATGTTATTATGCAGTTAACTGTTTGGTATTTAAGACTCTTATCAGAAAAGAAACAGAGGCCACACTATTTTGTTTTTATAGTAGGAGGAAGGTTTAGTTTTTCTTTCTTCTGTGCATTAGCAGGCATTAATCTGAGTTTATAGGAAGTTTTAGTTTTCTTTTCTCATAGATTAAAAAGTTAAAAAAAAAAAACAAACCTAGAATTTAGAGCATTCTTTAAACTGTAAGATACAAAACACCAAGCCCCAGCAACCTTGACCTATATAAAAAGGCCTTTAATGACAAATGATGTATATGCCATTCGATGTGGGCCAAATGTGGTATGATATGATAGACTTATAAACCATTCAGGCAGTTTTTCCGTTTGACATTCGGTCATGAAATAATTGATGTGTTTTTAATCTATACGCCAGTTAGTTCTTTCTATGCCATTCTTGATAGACATATTCTTAGTATGGCAGTGTCAATGGTACTTCAGTAAAATGGAAGCTTTTTTTTTATTTACACTACTGATTCTTTACATATAGTTATGGAGTCTCCTTTTAGGACATTTAAAATTAGAGCAAGAGACATATATAGTTGACAACCCTTTAAAATGTTACATATAATAATTAGAAGTCTTTTCATTTATATGGAAAGGTGCCATCTCCTTAAATGCTTTGAATATTGGCTATATAAGAATTAATTAGGTAAAATTTGGAGAAATTTATGTTCTGCCTCTTCTAATTTTCCATTGATGTTCAACCAATTAAAAGGTAAATACATTTCAGTGAAGTAATGTTTCAGTTAATCCTTATCATATATTAATTCCTGAACAATTCCTTATCATATGAGTCATGTCTTATTGCTTAGTGGAAATCCAAGCTCCTCTTCTCTGGGCAGTGATATGAATTGGTCTTGGTCACTGGTCTCCAGGGCCTTTCCTGAAGCGTAGTGCAAGTCACTGGTTGAATCAGTAAATAGTTACTAAGCATCTGTTCTGTTTGAGAAGCCACAGTAGGTATCTCTATAAATGCCACAATTTTCTTACCTTCAAGGTGCTTTTTACAAAGCAATTTTCTAAGGCAGAGAATGGTGTGTGATAAAGTGCTAGTCATATGGGACAAGCATAAGCAACAAGAAGAATGAAAGTTCTGCTTCCTATGAATTGGGTAGCCCAAGCCCTGGTGGAGAAGGTGGTGTGTGAGCTGGTGTTGAAGGACGGGCAGGGTGCCAGTTAGTGGTAGAAAAATGAGCTTGGAAAGTTACTTTGTGGGATTTGGTACCTGGAACTATGGTACCAGACTAAGAACTGAGATGAGGCTGGCAGTACTGTGCAGGATGAGCCTGGGGAGGAGTACATGGAGCTGAGGAAATCAGGCTCCATTCAGGCAGGAGGAATTAACAGAATGGAGGGCCTGTATTGGGGATGGCCATTGAGGTGGAAAACACTAATAAAGGGGAGAAGATCTATCAAATTGGTAATAATTCTGAATTATAAAAAGATACATTTTTTAAGTGGATGTATAGCTTTCAACCACAGGCAGTAAGTTGGATGCCAAGAAAAGTCGTCAAGTGGTGGGTGTCCATTTTTTAAATAGAAAACTCTGGCTCAGTTTTGGTGTAGGACATCTATTGTTGGCTTGCCTCCAGTAGTTGCTCTTGAGAATCATGCATTCACTAAGAAGGGTTAATAGCTAGTCTATTCATCCGCCATGCTTGTTTCCACTATTAACTTATTTAGTCAACTTTAACAAAAAATAGATACCAAAAAGACACATTTCAAGCCCCACTTGAATCCTCAAAAATTTTACTGTAATAATTCTTCACCCCTATTATATATATTGTTATTTTTTATTTTGGGGCCAAATTCTGTTTTTTTCCAGGCATGTTCTTCTGGTTGAAGAACAACGACTAGAGAATATACACAAAGAAAGATCAAGATAGTGTTTGTGAATGAGAGTGTACATTTGGGGATGGGGGTTGTGCAGTTTCTTTGAACTATTATGCCGTGAAATATATTGTACTAGAAGTAGAAGCGAACTGATTATACTCTGGCAGGGCTGGAAAGGTGTGGAGGACCAGGGAATTTCGTTATAGAGCTAAAGGCTTGTTGGGGAGTGTCACTTCGACTGTGGTAACCCTCCCTGCAAGGATCAGGTGGAGAATGGTTATAAAGGTGTTACTTCCACTTTTAATACTAGTAGTAACAAGGGGTAATAATCACTGCACTTTTACTTTGCCAGGTGCTATATTAACACCTTATATGTATCAAGTCATTTAATCTTCTCAACAACCCTGAAAGCAGAGGATATTGTTGCTCCCATTTTATAGTAAGGCTCAGAAAAGTTAGTTAACTCACTGAAAACTACACAGCCAGGCAGAACCAAAATTCAAACCCAGGCCATCGGTCTTCGATGTCCATGCTATTAACCACCTTGCAACAATGCCCTCTAAGGTAGTAGGGATAGCTCTTCAAATGTTGGAGAAATTACTGGTGAAATAAAATCAACTTTAAGTACTACATTTTTACCTAGCCTTAAGGGAGGAAATGATCTTCCTTGGTGCTGTAGTATTTGAAACTGAATCAGGTGAGCCATGGCAAGCAGAGGACCCACCGCCTAAACTGCCCATTTTTGCAATAAAAGAAGCATCCATTTCTGTTGGCTTTGTTGGGCAGAAGAAGTGCCTTACAGCTCAACTGAAGAAGAACTTGAAGGGAAAAAGCCTGCACAGCCCCAGGAGATGGCTGTGTGCGTGGTGTGCAGGGATGAGCTGTGCAGTGGCTTTCGCCACAGAAATGAGCATGTCAGGAGAGGTGTCCAAGGTGCTCCCAGGACCAGCACCACTGCAGGAGAAGCACGAGACAGAGAAGATGACACCCCAGTGTGAGATGGTAGAAAGGGTTCTTACATTCCAGATGAGATAGACTGCTGTTCCCAAGATCTGAGCACCATTCATAAGACCAAGGCAGCCACTGTAGGGCCTGGCTCATCTCCAAGGAGTAAAGGAACCAAATACCTTGTGTGGGGGAAACCTGATTGAAATAAATATTGCAGCAAGGGAAAAGGAATCCTAAAACTATACTGAAGTGTCCCTATTGAAAGAGCAAGTGAGTTAGGTTGGAATCCCCCAGGAAGGGTCCTAACACAAGTATTTGAGTGTAAGTAGTTTATTTGGGAGGCAGTCCCAGGAAGCACAGTTAGAAGGGGAGGAAGGTGGCATGGGGAAAGGAAAGCAGGCTGTAGGAGTGTGTGATTGAGTGGGTTACCAATCAGAGCACCTGGTGCTTAGTCCCATTGGGAAACTTGGATGACTGTGTAGGGCATGTGTGTGGGATATCCCATTTGAGGAGTAGGAAAGGGAGGTGTTTCCCCTCCAGGTCTGCCACTGCCCAAGTGCCGTGCCTGTCTTCTCTTCTGGTGCTACACAGCAGCTAAGAGAAGCGCTTGGGCCAAGAGGCATAGGTGCTTACAGGAGGACACCAGGCAGGTACTGGAACGGTGAAGGCCCAGGGATATGGGCCTGCCCTCTCACCTGCTATGGGAAAGAACAGTGGGTGGAGGAGGTAGAGGTTACTCCTTAGAGTTCTCTGTATAAGCCTGACTTCTTATCCTTACTAGCCCACAGCTCTGCCTTCACCAGCAGTCTCCTTGCTCAACTATAAACAATACAAAAATCTCCCGAGAGGGGGGCTCTGAGTAGTTGCCTTCACAGGGAATGTGGCCCTCAGCTCTGCCATCCTCAAAATTGGGGCTGTACTTGACTTACACAGATCCATGACAAGTCAAAAACTAGTCTGTCTTTGTTCAGCTGGCCCTTTTTATATTAGTTGATCTCTATTTATATGTGTTTATATTCAGAAACAATTAGAAATTAACCCAAATTATACAAATTGTATTTCAAGTCCTGTCTCTAACATCTGCAGACTGTTTTTTTCAGGAGTGGGTAGAACATACTCTTTCCCAGCTTACTAGACAGTAAGATTCCACGTGGCAGGGCCCAGCCTCTTCTTACCTGCGCGCC